GGACTTGCGGTGAGATTCTATCACTATGAACATTTTATCTAAAATAGTATAGAGATAGATTTGAGAGATATTAGGGTAGCTGAAACTATTTTGAGGAGGATGTGAATGTGCGTATAAGTATGTGTTGATTATTAGGCTCACACTCATACCTACCCTCAAGGTAATATTAGTGAAAATGAAACCTAAACTGATAAAGAAATAAATGTTGTTTTTTCCATCAATAAACCTTTCTATAGACTATAATTTTGCATTTCACACGACCTATGTTTAAAATACTTTTACATGAAATAATTTATGAATTTATTCTCTAATTTTTCAGACAATTAATAAATATGCAAAGTACAACTGAAAGTAAGGTTTTAGTTAGATTTATTTAAAAAAGATAATTTTATCTTCTAGTTAAAAAAAATATATCAGTCTATGATAGTCTAATGAATAGTGTTCCAGATTATTCTCGTTTTTTCACTGTGGATGAACTCATCAATCGTTCACGTAATCTGGCACTCGAACATTCGTCTTTAGTACAATATCGAGATATTGGACATTCTCAAAATGGCGAGACTATTTCAATGTTAACAATAGGCAATGGCGCGAAGTCTCTATTACTTTATGCATGTCCACATCCAAACGAACCAATTGGAACACTTTTAATCGATTTTTTACTTAATACTTTATTCGATCATTCTGAGTTACTCAGTAAATACACTTGGCATTTGATACCATGTGTAGATCCAGATGGAACACGTCTTAATGAAGGTTGGTTTCCCGGTCCATTCACTATTAGTAATTATGCACGATATTTTTATCGACCACGTTTACAAGAACAAGTTGAGTGGACTTTTCCAATAACATATAAAAACTATAGTTGGACAACACCTTCGAATGAAACTCAAGCATTAATGCATGCTATTCAATTAGTTCAGCCAGATTTTGTTTATGGCTTACATAATGCTGGTTTCGGTGGCATGTATTATCATATTAGCCATCCTTTCGCTGATATATTTCCTCAGTTAGCACGTTTTCCATCTTCATTAGGATTATTTCTAGCTAAAGGTGAACCTGAGGACCCTTGGATAACTGAGTATGCACCTGGGATCTATCGAACTATCGGTTTATCAGAGGCATATGACTATTATGAAAAACATACACAAACCGATCCTGAAACACTCATGTGTGGGGGTAGCAGTAGTAGTGAATATCTTAAAGAGATTGGTCTACATAAAACAATATTTCTTGTAACAGAAGTACCATATTTTCAATCATCTGTTGTCACAGATAATACAATCATTCCAAATGTTACACGACGCGATGTACTTCTTCAAGGACTTGATGAAGAAGATCAAAGTAATGCTATTCTAATGAATTTACTTGAACAAATTAAAACAGCTATGACACATGACTCAGCATTGTATCGTGCTTCTCGTTCATCATTAGAGTTACGTAATACAATGGCTACAAATTATCGACAAGCTATCCTGAATGATAATTCTACTCTTGAACCAGCGACGGTTGCCAGTCGGGCAGATGCATTATATATTTCATTATTTTATAAAATGTTAATTGTAAGTATGTTAGATCGTGCAATCACGTTACAAATTCAACAAAAATCTGGAGATATAAAATTACTTGAAAATGTTCAAAAAGAACTTGAACGTCATCTTAATAATTGGAAAAATGATATTGAACAAAATTTACCTTATACACCTATTCTTATTCGCACGCTTGTACAATCACAACTCGGAGCAATGTTAATAGTATTACCACAACTAGACTGATTTATTGAACCATCTCGAGGGTGGGTGTGCATGTGATCCCATTTTTTATTTATACTTACACTCCTAGCCACACACTCTCAAGATTTCAAGTTTAATGTAACAAAAAAGTTTATCGTTATAATTATAATTATCGTTGTTATTGTACAGAAGATGACCGATAGAAATAGCTTGTTGTTAATTGAAAATGTTCGAAAAATCTACGTTTATTTCCTCCTTTTGTGGTTTTAAAATAAATCGTCATACACCGCATTGCATTACTATTATAGCAAGAGATATATGTTAACCTATGAAAACTAATACTTTGTGCGAAAAGAAACCTTACATGATAATCCATATCACTCAAATCGATCGAAACCATCGGTTAACCATTCGGTAACTGCAGTTACCAACGAATCTATTTATTAAAGATGACGCCGTAGGATGGGTGTTGCTTTGAGCTAAACGATGAGATACACACACCCTCAAGATTTTCTCAACAAATATATTAGGTTCGAACTCATAAATCTTTAAAGATACTTACTCTTTTTGAAACAAACATACATTTACGCGATGACGAAAAGTAAAAGGCAGAAAAATGACAAAGATAACGATTACATAAAATCTATGTCCGATATTGCTTGGACCAAGACTGACTGCAATATTATGGTCGATGTGAAAAGATAGATCAGAACAGTCGAAATTCTGATCTACTATTTCATCTTGACGGTGTAGGTGGCTGTAAGTGCAGATTGAAAAAGAAAGGGATCCACACTTGTATAGTCATAAATTTATTTCAGTATTTAGCATGATGAAAGAACGGATATATACAAGGATACGTAGCAAATATTTCCGATTGTAGTATTTTTTATAAGCCATAAAACTCAATTATAACTTCATATATCGAAGAAATAGTATGAAGTTTTCATTTATACATTAATCTTAAACTTTTAAAAATGATTATAAATAAGTAAAAAATTATTTTATTATTCTTTCTGATTTACATTGTTAACCGAAAAGTCAGTGCACACTTCGTTTTCAGTAGAATGAATACGATATAGAATCATTTTTGATAAACTTTATTTCATATCTAACAAATTCACTTGTCTATTAAATGATTTTCACAAAGTGGTTGACAATCAATAACTATTTAATATCACTGAAAACAAAAAAACTTGGATTTTTTCCTACACTTTATTCAATAACTGTAAAACAAATAAGTAGACTAAGAAATACAATATAATAAGCAAAGAAAAAAGTATAAAACTAACATGCTAGCATAACTCAGTATGACGATGAAATGTATATGGTTAATTAATAATTTTGATGAAAAATGGAGGATATTCCAGAAGCACAAATATAATTAACATCAATCTTCTGGATTTGACGGTATCCTAAAAGATAAATGCAGTGCTTTTGCCGTATCAGTAAACGCTTTAATGAGTTCATTGTGTAGTTCCAAATTTGGAGCACGTAGTTCTATTGGCTCTCCTTTATCATACACTATCAATTTATCTTCAATGATCGTTATAGCAGCATCTCTCTGGTGTGTTATCTTAATTGCCGTCAAAAACCAAGCAGCATCTTCAGTATCGAAAAACTCTATGATTAATTCATCCAGTGAAACATTTTTCAAGCACTCTAATGGTCTTCCACGCACGCACAGTTTTGATATTAGCATTGAAGAAGCAATCGCTTCGGCTGATGATTGAAAAAAACCATCTATAGCATCTGCAGCTTCAGAAGACAATGCTTCATCATCTTCACGTGTATCCACAATTTTAGTGATTACTTCAATCGTAGCTGCTTTTTTACCCATTTTTCCGAGAGCTTTACATGCACAGGCTCTGATGTCTTTACTCTCATCTTCTAATGCACTAACCAGTTTAGTAATCACTTCATCCGTCGCTGCTTTTTCACCTATATTCCCGAGAGCTTCGCATGCACTTGATCTGACCTCGTCGCTCTCATCTTCTAATGCACTCACCAGTTTAGTGATCAGTTCATTCATCACTGCTTTTTCACCCATGTCGCGGAGAACTTCGTATGCGCCTGATCTGACCTCTTCGCTCTCGTCTCTTAATGCACTCACCAGTTTAGTAATCACTTCATTCGTCGCTGCTTTTTTACCTATATATCCGAGAGCTTTGCATGCACAGGCTCTGACGTTTTTACTCTTATCTTCTAATGCACTAATTAACTTAGTGAACGCCTCACTCGTCACTTCGTTTTTACCCATTTTTCTGAAAGTTTCGCATGCATAGGATCTCACCGTCTCGTTTTGATCATCTAGTGCGATAGTCACTAAATTAATCAGTGCAGTCGCTAGCTTCGAACTGCTCACTTTGGAAATGAATGAGAACACTGCGATTTTGATATTTGAATCATCATTTTGAAGTAGATTGGTAATTGCATTTATAATTCGTTGACTGCTTGTGACCGATGGTGCTCTTCTTAATGATTGTACAAGACATTCAGGAATAATATTGTTTTCTGTAGACAAATTATATTCAATGTATTTTGCTATCCATTCTATCAGTAAAGTGTATTGTGGAATAGTTGATTGGCTTGATGTCTCTTGAATGCAAGAAATAACAAGTTGCATATGTCTTATTCCAAGAAGATCTATCGGCGGTGTTAATATAAATCCCCAAGAGACGCTTAGGCATGTGTTTGAATCAGCCTCATTAGAAAGACCGGATAGAAAAGTAAAGACTAATGCATAACGTTGATTGTATTTTTCGCGTTGAATAAACTGGATTGTTTCTGGTTGAATTGAAGAGTCTTTGAGAGCTTTAATCAAATATCGTGCTGCAAAATATTCCTGAAAACTGAGATGCACAAAATAATGATCTTTGTCCGTTTCAATTTGAGTATCGATACTTTGTTTATTAAAACTTTTGAGAACTCCCATATTGAGTATATGTGGATGGTTATGTAAAGAGATTTTTTCTTCAGTTAGTGCTTTTCTCAGTAGATTTGGTCGTAAAATTATAGTATTGCTCTTCATTCCATTGAAGGCAAGATTTTCTAAGAATGCTAATTCTTTTTCACAGCGTTGATCAACGTCGTCTTTAGATAAATTTTGAATTTTTTTATTTGGCATTGATAAATATCGTCGACATAACCATTCTATCATCGCTGTGTATAATGATGTTATTGTTAATTCATTTGTTTCTGTAAAATCTTCGTTACTCCAAAGACCACATACCAGTTCCAAATTCACTGGAATATGTGCAACACCCCAGATAGATGGATTAGTCTGTAAGAAGCTGAATAATTTTTGACTTTTGTTCAAAGAATTGTCTAATTCATCTTTCATCTGATCAAAGAATTGCTCTACATATCGCTCAATATTATCGTCTGTAAATCCTGTGATTTCCATTTGTACGTGATAGGCTAATGAATTTTGATATGGACGGGATGTTAAAATATGATGTGGAGTTTTAAGTAATTGGTCGAATAAACATTCTAAATGTGGTGGTACATTTTGTATAATTTCATCATATCCATCCAAGATCCATAAAGTCTTTTTTGCATCAAAATATTTTCTCAAAAGTTTGTCTTCATTTTCAGATAGATTATATGAAAAAATTTCTTTTTTCACAAGATCAAGCAAAGAATAGTTCTGACCATTTGATAAAGGAGGATATCGATTAGTTGTTAAGCGACGTAATGGAATTAAAGCCAATAATTCATATTGTGTCCAACATAAACCCATCGCCCATTGATAAGCAATATATCGGCAAAATGTGGATTTCCCAATTCCAGCACGTCCGAATACCAGTACTTTTTTTTCTAGATTTTTACATATTTTAAAAATATTTTTGATATCTATTGTAATTTTTGTCCCATAAATCTCTTCAAAACTTCCCATTATAGCATCATTGTTGGAAGCATCACGAAGTTGTTTTTCTTTTTGTTGTTGTGTTTTAGTATCGACGATGGCTAAATTAATGTAAGTCTCCTCAATTGGATAGAATTTTGCTGGATTCGTCAGACGTTCAAGTTGACCAGTTCGTTTATATTCTTGTTTTATTGATTCAAATGGTTGGTTTGACTCAGACTGTGATTCACTATTAAAGAAGTATAGAATCTTTAGAAAAACAGTGTATATTTCATAAAGTATCATTTAACATAAACTCATTTAATATATTTTCGATCAGCTCAAGTAATTTACTAACGGATTTATAAAAGAGAAACTAATACTTCATGTACTATGATGAGATTTATTTATTTGCATTTCTATAAACTTTTTCGGGTGAGCCGTTAGGTTTGCTACGATTCATCAACGAAAAACGGATGTTCTTCGAAAACTGTCCAGAATAATTTGTAGATTATCTTATAGGTAGTTAGTATGTGAATTGTAAAAGTTCGAGTTGAAACTATATTCTAATTTACAAACTTACATGTATGCATCACTATCAATCTTAGTTTATCTTTTCTATGATATGTACATGTTATCAATATTTACGTTTGGATATTAAATTGTTTATCGGAGAAAATAAAAGATAACACTGTCGATTGTTATACTTATATAGTAGAGATTTTTTGTAGGATGATTACATTAAACATATTCTCATTGGTGAATGAATATGATAGGTATTATTTATCTTTTCAAATTGACTAACCTTTCAGGAGTTACTTCTTTTAAGTGAACAATGGAGAGACAGTTTTTGAAATCGGTTGTTTCGGTTTTGGCTCGCACACGAGTTCCAGGCATTAAAATAACTTCTTTCTCGTCTGGACGTGCAGAAAATTGGGAGATATCTTTGCCATGCATAGTTTCAATAGCGAGCAAAGTGCCTCGTTCATTTAGAAATGGTTGAACAATTTTCAGATCCATCGAAGTTGAAATGATACTCCACCAAATCTCGATTTTATTTTTAACAAAGACTGAACCGATATCACCGTAAACACTTCTCCAAACATGTGCTTTAACTGATGGGAATTTATTGAGAGCCGTCATAAACAATTTTAAGTAGGGAAACCATGGTTTAAGTGCATGTCGATTTTCAGATCGAAGTGCTTCGTTGAGAGAAGAAAAAAAAGGTGATGCCATCGAGTAAAGATATATTGCCGCTGATTCATCTTGCGTTAACAAGTTTGAACGTTGATTACATCGATTTTTAGCTGTTGTAGCATAAACTAAGATATCGGGAACGAATGGAATTAGTTTTTCCACAGCTTCTTCTAATGTAAGAATGGGTGAATCTTCATAACCATCTATTGGCCTTCGATTGGCTTCTTGATGTTCTAAGAGAGTTTGATGTACAAAACGATTTTGCGACATAAGTATCAATTATCGTTGTATTTTCGTGAAGATGTGTTTAAATGAACCGTTTGTATCTAAAAGACAAAAATGAGTAAGATGATACATCAATTCAAATTTTCCTCCAGATTCGTCATCTTCTACTGAATTTTCAATGAAAGCAAAGTTTACATCTAGCAAGAACCGTTGTGTGACTACTAGTATACAAAGAAAAGCGTGTGGGTGCGGGTGTGGATATTGTATTCATCTCATGTCAATACTGACACCCTGTAGATATTCTATTTTACTGTCGCTTTCGAATCGAAGTATTATTTAAAACCTACCATGATATTCGTATCTTAAAAGGTAACCCAATTAACCGGCATGAGAAGTAAATAAATTGAACGTTGTTTCGGAGCATCTGCTAGTTCTCAGTAACTACATCTGTTTTTTACGCTACATGACAAAAAGTTCTCTCATTTTGATTCATCATACATTTATGAACAATATTATTATATCTATGATAAGATATTCGGAAATAAAACCATAGTAAACTCTTCAACAAAATATTCACAACCGTATTTTTCATCTGTAGAATAAGTTCTAACATTTAAAGATATCATTTATACTCTTTAGACTACAATCAGATAGTACAGTTTCACTTACAGTTAAATAATAATCAACGGTAATTAAAGCAGAAAAAGAATGAATAAAAAACCAGCTGTATATCTAAACGAATACGAATAAATGAATAAAACATCGAGAAACACACTATCTTATACCTCGTTTACTGCGGTGATCATTGATGCGTCCCTCATCTTTTTTTACTTTAATAAAAAAAAAGGTAATCAATCCAAGAACGAAGCGTTTAGGCCACGGTATTTTTCGGTTGTATATATTACGGATTGAAAAAACACATAAAATTACAAAAAAAAATGTCGACCAGCGCACGTTTTTATCTTTCCTTCCTTGCAATCATCATTAATACATACAATCTTCACTTGGCCTAACGATAAAAAATCAACGTATAGTTAAATAGATGAAATTTGACATAAAATAATTATGGATCGTTTATCTAACGAATGTTGCTTGTGAGAAAATATAATGCCAATCCAGGTTGAACGTGCTCTATCGTAAACGACTGTTTACGAAGAAAAATGGAGATATATGTAGTATCTGAAAGATAAACTTCTTTACTTCATATACGGTGGTATATCACAGTATGCGATCTTATATGATCGTATAGGCTACCATATGCTCAACCTTAGAAAATCCTCATAAAATATGGCTATTGAGACTGAAGCAGTCAAGTAAGGAAGCAGTATTTTCGATGTATGCATAATTACTACTTATCACAGCTTTATCTGATTATTTTAAATCTGTTGATAAATTTCTTTCTCTTTGTGATATGTTTAGATCCGTATCTTCTTGATTGCGGGCGATTTTTCTTAATTGGGAGAAAAATATGTCTGCAAAGTAGAATCGAAGTAGAGAGATGAAAATGGGTGTGTATGTGTGGAAGGGAGAAGGTGGGTGTGGATATTTCTCCCATTCACCATCAATACGCACACCAACACCCTGGCGAAGCAAAACACGAATTTCAAAATGATTCACCTAAATTCAAATAATGAAAATGAAATTACAAAATTTGTACAAGAATAGCTAATACATGCGAGATATACAGGTTTTAAAAATGAAACACAAAAAACTTTAAAAGCAAACTTAAAAAATTAAAATTTTTGCAAGAGACCGCGAGTTTTTTGCTCCACTTAACATTAGATACGATACAATGAAAAGCATACGACAAGTATTGTTCCTTTTATACATTTATCTTATCTATTGATTTTGCACACACAATGTGATTTATAACGGACGTCTTATTTTTGATTATTAATAGAAAACTCATAGATTTTTTTAATAAAAGATAGTAAACAGCGAAGATAAATGATACATTGTGTAGTGTTCAACCAATGAATTCTAACAACACGATTGTTTCATATATGTGTCTATGTATTTATCAACCACAAAACAGATCGATGTAACATCGATAAGCAGTAGTCGAAAATAGTTATTAAGTTGATCGAAAAATGGAAAAGTTTATCTTTCCAAAATGAAAATAGAGTCAGGCAACCACTCAACATGTACTGTCTTATTTAAGAATATATGAAATTATTCCTCATGAATGTTATCAACTCTAGAATGTACATTTATGATGAGGCACATCTCAAATATTATCACATTGATATACTAATCCGTGTAAAAACTGTGGACTACATACAGAAGACATTTTAATGAATTTTTTGAATAACAGAAGAAATTTATTATATGACTATTAAGGTTTCAAATGTTTATTAGAAAAAAATGCATCTTGAGAAGAATAATCATTCATATAAAAATATAGTAGCGTTGATGAAGTAGATTTAGTGACATATCAGGATTATTACAAGGTTAGTATTGTTACCGAAGCAGTGCACCATTTACTATTTTAATCATATATCTTTGCTCTTCACGATGTTTTTCTCCTTTCAAATAACATTTGTCTTCAAAGCTTTGTGTGTTAGAATTCCCTTCAGCTTGAGTTGTCATTGTCTGACCAAGATTTTGACTTGTATCTCCTAGTCCTTTTTGGTAACGTTTCTCAAAAGCCATTCAAAGCGTTCGTGACGAATATGATCTTGTTGCAACAAATATACTTAGATTGTCGATACATTTGCCATATACAGTGTCATTCGCTTCAGGATAAAACACAAGTATTAAATTATGAGGGCCTTGTCATTAACCATCTTTGTAAAAATATTCGATCAATGCACCGGGCTGAAAAATAGCATTGCCAAAGTCCTTCTGGATACAGAATCCATCCCAAACATATGCTTTATTTGAGAGAAGAGTTGAGCTTGTGAGCGCATCGTCCTGACTACAGGTCGAATCGCTCGAGATGACTAACTCGAAGATGATGAAGATAGATGAGTGATGATAGTAATAGTGGCGGTTTATTAAAAATAAATCAGGACTATAAATAGCACAGCGGAACAAATGTGAAGCTGGACAACGACTATCCAGCTTCACCAAAAAAACAGATGTACACATGTGAGGAGAACAGAAAAAAAGATACATGTGAAAGAAGATAACAGAAGAAAAGGTACATCTGCAAGGAGAGGATGATGTATATCATCCTCAAACAGACCCCTTGCAAAAATATAAACAAGAAAAAACACCTATCCAAAAAACACCAACTAGAAAAACGAGAAAAACTACGCCACCAACAATACTACCAATTAGAATACCATCGTTTATAATGCCATTATGATCATTATTATCTAAACAACCAAAGAACAGATATTAAATATTACTTTTTACAATAGCAATTTGTGTAAAATGACATAATGAAGTAGACTATGAAGAAAGGAACTTAGAATAATGACGATGATCTCCTTTATCGATATCTATTATGATATGAAAACTAAGCGATAAGCAGAGGATGTTATATCTTAAATATGAATATCTATTGGATAAATGTAAATAGATAGTTGATCCTTATATGCAAAAGAAGTTAAATCATCCTAGGTTAAATTTTGACATAAAAGTAAATAGAGCAGTGTTGTTTCAGGAAGTTAAGAGTACTACTAAACTTATATGTCAGAAAATGTTGAAATTATCAAAACATGTCAAATAGTATCAAGAAATATATACAAGGCTGATTTTTTGAACTTACTAGTGGCTGCTGCTCGGGTTGTAGCAACAGTAGCGGCTACTGTTGTTGTGATTTTATTGACTGCTGTTGAATTGCCAGCATTTGTTGTACTGGTAGTACCGATTGTAGTAGTAATACTTGTTGTAACGGTAGTGCTTGTTGTGCGAGTGGTGTTCATTGTAGCAGTACTGCTCGTTGTCGAAGTCGTACTCGTTGTCGTGCTCGTTGGCGAAGTCGTACTCGTTGTCGTGCTCGTTGTCGAAGTCGTACTCGTTG